TCCCAGTTATTTCATGTCTGCATCATCTGAAGAACCTCATGAGCTTTGCTTTTTCTATAGCTCCCATAGTCGCTAGAATGGTGCTGTCTGGATGTCCTGTTAAGGTTGAGAAAAATGAGGGGTGATCAATGTACTGAGGGAGAGGATTGGATGAAGTCCCTCCCAGGGGCTGTATTTTATGTGCAGATCCCTAAACTGCTTCCCTCTTGTGCTTAGGTATCTGGACCAAATTTAGGTGAGTCACCAAGATGAGAAAGTCTGCCTTGGATCCAGAACGGGGAACAAGGAAGCACACTTCCCTCCTTCCCATGGCTCCGTCAAACCTGCTGGGACACAGGATATCAGTGACTGAGAACAACCTAACTCACTACCTCTCCAGAGCCATACTGTGGGATTCTAAGAATCCTCAGCCAGCTGGAGGGTATTGGGCCCTTCCTAGAACCCCTGTAGCCTCCCGGGCTGTCTTGCTCTCCCACCCCCCAGATGTTCATGGCACTGATTTTGTACTTTCTGGATCCATGAGAGGGCTGAAGAGGAGCTCTCAGTCTTCTTCAGCTGTTAATCCTCAAATGTCACACACTATTTAGAACTAGCCCTTTCCCAGCCTGTTTCTGCTCGACCCTGAGACCCTGGCACTTGCAAGCAGATCTAACTCTTTAGATACACCCCATACATCTGCCAGCATCCCCAGACTTTGTCCCAGCCTGATCTACTGATGTAGGGTATCTAATAATCGCCAGGAGTTTTCTTCTGCTTCGAGGACCGGTCTGTACCATGTAAGAAGGCTCTGCATAGTGGCTAAGTCATTTCTTCTCAGACTTAAGTGCCTAAAGCATTGGTTTGTGGGTAAGATTTGGCTAATCTTCTGGGACTATGGTCTTTTAAAGCTTGAGGCAGTCCAGGCTGCAACCCACACCTATAGCATAAATGGGCTTTGAGGTCCAAGAACAAACATATCTGCAAATTGGTTCTTTAATAGAAACTAGTGAATTAGAAGAACATAAAATTGAAGATTTTTTTTCTTTCTCAAGACACTAGGAATCAGAAGTTTAGATCTGTACATACTACTTTTGTGTCAAAGGTATGTAACCTATGTTAAAAATGAGAAAAAAATTGGTAACTATAAAATATTATAATTATATAATATTTGCAGTAATAATGTGAAACACTGTACAGGGCATTATAAAATACCTTACATTATGAGCTATATTGCATCTGATATTATTATTACTACCACTGATAATATTTCCCCAACACTCATAATCTGAGAACATTTTCTGAGCCCCGTCTCCAAATGTTTGGCTGTGCCTGACTCCGCAGCTGACTTGAATTCCTTGTTCACTGTCTGGTGATTCATTGCACTAAATACCATTTTCCTGATAATTAAAAACTGCTCACTGGCAAGTGGGAGCAGGAACAGGCTGATGCAGGATTTATGCAGAAACACAAAATGAGCCACAAGACAAATGACCTGTTCTGCCTAGCTAAAGGCATTTTTTTTTTCTCATCATCTTCGGGGACTTGAGAAAGCCTAGCGGTAATGCCAGAGAGAGGTCTGCAGAGATGTGTTATTCCAGGATGAGGCACGGAAGCCATTATGTGCACGTGCTCAGTAGAATCACTTTCCCGGTTTCCTACACTGGATCCCTACCCCTGCCAGAGGAGTTAGGCCCTCTGCTAGGTCAGCCCTCTCAGACCCTCATCAGAGGAGAAGCACCCGAGTCTAAGCCATTTGATGATAGGCTTTTGTTTTCAGTTTCTCTTCCTCAATGTAACAATGGTATCTTCAGGTTCAGGGAAAACAAGTACTAATTCCTATATGCAGAACTTCACAGTGATGTCACATCACCCCTCCTGGGCCTCTCTGTGCAGCCTCCTCAGCTTTCTGTCAGGAGCTTCAGTGACTGTCAGAACCTCTGGCCCCACAATAGCTGTGACCTCACGAGCACATGTCCTCTGACCCCCACGTACACGTTTCTTAATTCTACAAGGTAGCAACCTCTCCTTGTGAGTAAATTGCACCAATCATTGAAGTATGAACTTTCTCCCACCTTGGTGCACCTAGTTGCCTATTCCTGGCCTGAAAGAATGCTGGCACCATCAGGACGTGAACTGTTCCCTTCTGGGAGTAGGTCCTTCCCAGAACTGATTGGGGCTAATATCTGCAAAGCTCATTAACTCCGGATCCTTTCTCATTCATCCTTATAGATGTCTGTACTTGCAAACCGTTCATTACTGCACATTCTAGATTGTTTAATTAGTCTTTGTGGAAGAGTTCCTGTAGGAAAGCTTAGCATACATCGTTTAAAAGCCCTTGATCTAAAATAACAAGGTAGTTATTCTTAAAGTAACTAATACAACTCTAAGTGCCTTACATCCTCCACTGCCCACCCCCCCTTCCTCTTCCTACCTCCCCAAACACTTCCTAGAACCATTTATTGATAATAATCCTGAGTAAGTCAGTCTGAGCCCTTCCTGTAAACATCAGGCACTGTGCTAAGGTATTTCATTTGCAGTGTGTTCTTTAATATCACAGTCACCATGGGAGGGATGTGCTATTTCCTCCACTTGCAAAGGAGAACATTATTCTAAGAGGCGTATGTGGATTTGCTGCTTTATGCCAGACTAGTAAGAGGTTTTAGGATTCTGTCCTCACCTATAGGCCCCAGCATCTGGGCTCCTGACCTCCTCTCCTCTCAGCATAGCACAGGATTTGGGAAAAGTTGCAGGTTGTTGACACTGACCTCCTGTCTGCTTTGCATTCTGAGTGGGTCTGTTGTTGTCTCACCTCCTGCCCTCACCCCTTCAGTTCACACTGGCCAACTTCCACGTGCAGCATCTGTGTGTCTTCGCCTAAAAGCTCTCTGGCCATGGAGCCTCCCTGCCCACCTGCGCAGCAGGCCAATCAGCTCCCACTGAAGGCCGATGGGAAATGTGTGGTAATACCATGGCTCCTTCCATCCAGGTGGGCCAACTCTGAAGCATGTGATCACCCACACCAACTCCTAGAGCTTTCCAGGGGGGCTTAAGTCTGCTTCAGTTACCCACGGTGGGAAGTGGCTTGAGAAGACACTTTTTATAAGCTGCCTTCCTTGCCCGCTCTTGCCCCATTCATCTACAAGTGCTGCTTGGGATCATCTTTCAGATAAGCCACACGGCTTTCAGAGCCTTTTCTCAAGGGTTGCTTCTGGAGGAACCCAAAGTGCAACTACCTGGAGATGCTGATCTGGCTTTGTTAGACCCTTTCAGTCTGGTTTCAATCATTCTTGGTCCTTACCTGTTCGTCAGAGCAAATGAGAGATGAGCCCCCACTCTATTTTCCTTTAACTCCACTGTTAGCAAAATAGAACACCAGCCTCACTCTCACTCGCTCTCCCCACCGCCCACACACACATTCCCTAGGGATTACAACATTCCATATAAAGGTGAGGATCTCTCTGTTTGCTTTGTCCAAATTTCAGTGGGTAGATTCCAAAGTCCATGTAGTCATGTTTCCAAGGAACATTCTAGGATGGCGTTGACCATCCTAAAGCAAGCCATCTAGCATGCTAGGAGTGATTATATTTAATGACGCCTATAACCCATTTTTCCAAAAGAGCAGTTCTTCTGGGCATGGAACCTGGCTGTCTCTGACTTAAAAAACAAATCCCCCTTCACTTCTCTGCTGCATCTTCCTTCTCCCTCTGGGCTGTACTGTAGCACTTCGAGTCCTTGCCTGAATTGTGACCAAAGCAGCATGAACTTGGGGGAGCTGTAGACTCATCAGAAAGATAAGTGAAAGATGTCAAAACTAGCCTCTTCGTTTAGGGCTGAGAGTCAGCAGAGATGAGCCGCAGTGAGGCTTGCGGTGCTCACGGTATCTGGGAAACTGCCTCAGCCTTGGGTCCCAGCCGCGGGAGCTTGGCATTTCTGCTTTTTGAGGCCTGCCTGCCCTGCTGACTTGACCCTTCCACCGGCAACGTTGGCCGGCAGGGAGAGCACCCACTCTTCACAAGGATGCCATGCCAGACCATGTTGTTTAGCTTTCAAAGCCCTCTCCTGCCCAGCACACTAGCACCAAGAGAGCAGTTTCTATACTTGGCCTCACGACACATCAGACATACCGAAAATTACGTTGTGCGTGAATCCATTTGTTTCTTGGGTTCTGTTGCCTTTTTTGTCCCCTTTCCTCCACTTTTTGAATGTATTTTTTCTGTAGTGACAGTTCTCTGTTTCGTCCCCATGTACGCCTATTTATCTTGCCAGTGTAAACATCAGTGACAAAGTCTATATTCCTTTTTGTATTTCTCATTCTCCATTTTACGTGTTTTTCGTACTCCAGTGTGTCTGAGGCATGGGCGTTCATGACCATTTTTCTTTCATTCCACCTCACTTGTTTCTATGTAGACTTTGCTCTTTTCTCTATCAGTATTTTCTAAGCTTTTCTTTTCACATTTTCTCTTCTGGTATACTGTCTGGACACTTCTATCTTGAAGTGTTTCTAATAGCAATTTCTCCTTTTTCTTCTTCTACTTCTTCTTTTTTTAATCCATCCTCATCCCTCTTCCAGCCGTGGCCACAGCCGTCAGTTATAACCTTAACGGTGGCCTCCACTCAGAAGAGTTGTCAAGTTGATAAATATTGATATCTACCCTACCATTTTACCACCACTCTTCTGCTAATGCATTTGGTTGGCATCAATCAGTTTCTTTGCCTTCTGTGAGCGCTCAGTGTGGGAGCTGGTCCCGATCTGTCACTTATAAGTAATCTGCTCCACATTTCATCAAGAGCTCAAAAAGAGAAGAAAATATGGAGGAGAAGTAGAGGACGGAGAACCAAGCTAGTGTGGCCCAGAGGGAAGGGAGATGGGAAGGCCCAGCAAGGCAAAGAGAGGCAGTCTGGTATGTAGGGGGGACGCTCCCCCGCCCCAGCCGTACTCTTACTGCTGGGGATAGCAGCCAGGACTTACTGACCACCATGTCCTCTTTGGGATGTTAACCCTGCTTATCTCCTCTAATAAGGCTCCCCAGGGATGAAGATCTACATTGACCCCTTCACTTACGAGGACCCCAATGAAGCTGTCCGGGAGTTTGCCAAGGAGATTGATGTATCTTTTGTGAAAATCGAAGAGGTCATCGGAGCAGGTATGGCTCTCCCCTCCCCTCTTTTCTGTTCTCTTGGTGTCCAAACATCTGCTTCCCACCTTTCTAGGTGTTCTCTTTCAGCATAAAAAAAATCATCCCATTGGGAGAAGAGTTTCTAACATCTCTCTCCCCAGAAGATGAGTCTGAACCATCTACATTGTGTGTCTAGGGATCTTTGGGGAACCTTGAAGATGGTGGCCCAGCTTGGTTGGTGTTGCAGAGAATTCAGCTGTAGTTTTGAAAGATTCAGACAGACATAGCTCCAGAAATGGACCACCAAATACACCAAAAGAGAGAGAGCTAGGGCACACAGTTGAGAAGACTTTGAAAGAAACAAAATGTGTTTAGAAGCTGGACAGAGTGCCTCACTGACAATATCTCCATGGCTCTGGATCAAGATTTCCCCCCAAACTTTCAGTTCTCCTTTTCCTGCATACATGCATTTTGGAAGCAGACCATGATGAATTGAAGAGGGCCCACTATTTCCAGAAGAAAACCCACCCATAACTATTTCCTACAAAAGATATATAATATGAATAGTAACCCAAGACAAGTTCTACTTCGAAGAAACATGCGTGCTCTCATCCATCTCACTGCATTGGACTAGAAATCCAGCCCAGCAGAGAACTAACTGCCTGAGCTGCTGTCAGGAGATCCTACCTAAAGACTGATCTAGAATTTTCATCTTTCCTTAATGGATCAGTAGTTGAGTCAATTTGACAATGGACTCAGCCTTATTAATGTGAATGAGTAAAATATCATCACTTTATAAGTAATTTCTTTTACTGGCTCCTCTGCTGCCTGTTTTGAATTGTCTTAAAATATGTGTTTGCTTTGTGTCCTCTTTCCTACTTTTATTTTCTTCTACAGCATTCTTTATCTTTTCTTTGTCTTCAATTCTTGTTAGCCGTTGTTCGAGCTCTCTTCACTCATACACTGTAGTCTTCTTTTTAGTTCCTGTATTTAGGAGTGCTTCACTCATGTCAGTATTTGGAGAGTCATGGAGTTGCCTCTACCTGTAACATTTAACTCGATAAAATGTGCTTAGTCTAAGTCTTACAGACAACCACTTTGGATATTATCTTTAGGGGGAAAGTCACTATCCTTCCGTTCACTGCCTCTCTTAATGTACTGAGGGGTCAAAAAGCCATCTGTGAAATTGGAAGTCACATTTGAAAGCTTGCCCCATTAGGCTACCATTTTCATGCTCTGGATTCCCTCTTAAAGAGCTCTACCTTCATGGCATCTCTGTGGTGGCTGCTGGGACTGTCCCTGTCAGGACACACCTTTCTTCTCTCACCAACCCCTCAGGAGTTCCAGCCGGCTGGCCATAATCTGATCCACATGAGTCTATACATATTTCCCATTGACTTTCATTAAATATGTTACTGAACCACGACTTTCACTTCTGTGCAGATAATTTTCTCTTCCTCCTTAGAAGCTGACATATTTAAGGATCATGCCTTGGAAGGCTGGATACCAGATAAATTGGATTACTCCCAGAGGCTCAGATTTCTCCAGTGAACTTGAAAGAGTGTTGGGGAGGCATGCTTACAGTCCCACACCCTGTTTGCCCACATTATTAATTGTTGTTATGTCGTGTGGTAATGGTGCTAGTGATTTTAATGTTGTTACTTATGTCATGTGCTTAGAGCATTGTGTTCTGGACTGTGTTTCACCCCAGAGAGCACACATCAGCCCCCTCCCACCTTTGTCAGAGGAAGAGTAAAGAGCCTTCTCACTTTATGACCCTGCCAGGCAGTGACAATTTGGGGTGAGCTCACCAACTGCTGGATGCCTATAAAGGGACAATCGATGGCCCTGCTCCATCCTTCACTTGCCATTTTTGTAGAGCCTGTGCTGCTGCTACCGTGTTTGTGCATCCTCCTCCGAGAAGGTCAGCCCTCTCTGTGGCTCACATGGTAGTGGGGAGGGATCGGTACACTTAGCGGTTTATAAGATGCCCAGCGGCACGGGGTAGAGACCTGTGCCCAGTCCGCTGCTGCCTACTCTCTACCAGACACTCATCTCCTCCCGATCCAGAAATTCCAGAGCTAATCCCTGTGGATATTAATCCACTATGTGTAACTCGATGCAGTTTTAACAGAAGAGACTCCTAGCTGGAATCAATCCTCACTCCCCAATTCTTTTTCTCCTCTCTCTCCACTCTTGCTTCCCCCAAACCCTTCCTCACGGAGACTCACTTCACTTTGTGCTAAAAGAGCTGGTGTGAAGGTCAAGTTAAAAAGAAAAGAATTTTGTAAGGTAATATTTATATAGCGTTATTGGCAACATTGCTCTTAGCCTCCTGGCTGATTGGGAGCACAGGGCAAAAACTGGGTTGCAAAATGGTAACAAAACATGAAAAGAAGACTCAGAAGTCATTTGTCCTTTTGTTGGTGTACTCCTTCCTTCCCTCCCTCAACAAGCTTTTACTGAATACTTCTTGCATACTGCGTGTGGGATTCCGGAGATGGACAGACAGCAACCCCGCCCCCTTCAGTGGTCTGACAGTCTTGGTGGGAGATAGGCCGGTAACGTGTTCACTGTATCACGCCATCCACAACACAGGCATGTGCAAAGTGTTGGGCCACCAAGGAGTCATGGTCAGCTCCTTGTTCTGGGAGTGGGTGTGGGCATCAGGAAGGCTTCGCAAAGGAGTTAACCTTTGGCCTGAGCTTTCAAGGATGAAAACTAGTAGAAAAAGCAAATTTTTGTGGCACTCATTAGAGAATGAGACGGTGACAGAAGAGGAAAATTGCATGATTTAAGAGAAATGAATATGACCTTCTAGCAGCAGGATGTTGGAGCTAGCTGGCACCAGCTCACAAGAGCCAATTGTGTACATCTCTTTCCAGCCCCATGTTCAATGACACATGTTGGTAAGTTGACATCTGCCACGGTAGGAATTTTTACACAGTAGGAATTGGCAGATGCTACAAATGGGAGGTCTTTGTTTCTTTGCTTTCTGGAGAACTAGTAGTTGAACACTTACTGGCACACCCCAGCCTTCCAAAGTGTGCAAGGTTATTGCAAAGAGGATGCAGAGGAACCCACCTATGCCTGCTGAGTATAGAGCCAGAGGAGAAGGTCATGATTATTGCAGGAGGGATTAAGTTTACAGTTCAAGAAGATCCTCATTCATTGAACATTGATTCGGTGCCTGGGACCATTGTGGATGCTGGAAAATACACCGATGCCTCACAATCCTTGCCCTGTAGTGGTGATTGTCCAACATACACACAGTGCCACTCCATAAGAGGAGGGTAGGCAATTGACAGCTAAGATGAGCGGCCCAGAGAATACATAGTCTTGGAGATGGGAGGCTTAATGGCAGGAGAGAATCCAAGGAAGAGAAACCTTAGGGACCCTTAAAGATACGAAAGCTTTGCATGGGCTGATACTCTATGTGGCACTTCCTGAGAACACAAAGGAGAGAAGGCTAACAGGGAGGCTTTTCCTGAGGGTAAGCATTGAGCATTGAGTCTGGAGAATCAGCCTGAGACCCAGAGATCCAGAGGCTGCGGTATGGATTTTATCCTGTAGAAAATGGTGACGTCTTGTAGGCATCTGAGCAGGCTGGGCGACAGGAATGAGATTCTGGGGAGACAAATCTGATAGATGCTGTGTTTGGACTGGCCTGGAATGGGTGACGGGGAGGGGTGGGTGAGGCCTTGGAGGCATGGAGACTTTTATGGGGCTTTGCTCGGAAATGTGGAGTGGGTTTGAGATGGCTACTGCTGGGATGGAGGTGGTAGGGAAAGCTCTGCTCGAGGAACTAAACGGATCTAAACCAGAATGTATCCAAACATGGTGAATGGAGCTGATGGGGGAGACACAACAGGGAGGTTGTGGCCAGAAATGAGGGGCATTGAGTTAAAGCCCTTGAAGGGAGAGGAAGGCTGCCAGGCCCTGCGGGGTGTGGGGTGGCAGTTGTGCATGTGAATGAAGGCCAGTAAAGTCTAGAAACCGTGAGGCTGAAGAATTGCAGCAGCTTCCCATGTTTCTTCTCAACTTTTGAGGATGTTGGATGAAGGGATAACAAGGGGCACCTGGGTGGCTCAGCCGATTAAGCATCCAACTCTTGGTTCTGGCTCAGGTCATCATCTTATGGTTCATGAGCTCAAGCCCACATCAGGCTCCGTGCTGACAGTGCAGAGCCTGCTTGAAATTCCCCTCCTCTCTGCCCCTTCCCTGCTCACTCTGTCTCTCAAAATAAATAAACTTTAAAAAAATTTTAAAAAAGAGTTACACAAGAGTAACTGTGAGCCAGGTGTGATGGCATCCAGGAAGACCGAGCAATAATGAACTTATTAACCATTATGCAATTATCTGCCTGTCTCTCATCATCGGGCTCAAAGTTCCAATGAAGACAGGGCAATCTCAGGATTTTTTTATTCCTGCGCCTGGCCTGGTGTGGCACTCAGGTGCTCAATCAAATATTATTTGCATAGGGTTCAATGAAAGTAGGTCCTTGTGGGGAGAATATAGTGGGAAGGAAAATTTGGAGAACTGGACAGAGCTTGGGAGAATGGAGAGAGCCTAGAAGGAAGTGAAGGGTCCTAAGTCACTTGGTGCTCTTGAAATGACCCAGTGGGATAATGGCTGGCCTTCCTCTTCCCCTGCAGGTAATGGACATTATTGGTCTGTTTAGAGAGGGCAGAGGCCTTCTGGTTAGGAGAATATTAGCAATTAGGAGAACTGGAGAATATTAGCAATTTGTGACCACGAATCTGACTCATAGGAACCATCTCACAGGTCAACTCCAAGGCATTGGTTAGTTCTGACCAGTTTGATCCGTAGATTCGCCCAAAACATAAAGCAGGGTTGCCATGAATAATTAGGCCCCTCAGCATGAATGTCACTCTGGGTTGTGCAGTGTGTAACCCATGTAACTGTATGCAGCAGCCCTGATCATGATTTTCAAGTGCATGAAAATGTAGATAGAGGTGTCACTAGAGGGTGGCTTCCAGAGGAAAATATGGCAATTGTATTTTATT